GTCTAACTGGAGAGATTAAAAATGATAAAGTGCAACTCTGAGTCTCTTTACCTTTGCATATTTAATGTGATATTTTAGAGGTACAGTAATGTGGTGTTTGGTAATTGTGAGTAAGCTTTTTTATGCTATGTCCTTTGCAGTGAAAATTCATGATTTTTTTTTTTTTTTCTGAATTACATGAATATTTTTATTTTATGTAATGACTGTCTTTTGGATCTGAATAAGTCACTTTAAAACCTTGGCCTATGAACTTTGCCTTACCGATCATGAATCTAGATGAATGCTATCTAGTTCTTGGTTCAGTTTTACCTATTTTTATTTTTGGTTCACTGCTTGCTTGAGCATAGCTGGGATTTGTAGCCCATTTTCTAGGCTTATTGCAATCTCACTGTGGTATTTTATAGAAGCTATTACAACTGATAGGCTAGCTTCATGGTATTGATGATACATTGCTTACCCATAGAAAAAGCTGCCTTTCCTTTCTAAATTGTAAAAAGGTGATTAAGTTTCACTTGATGGAGATTTACTATATATGTGTGTTTATTGTGGAATGAGTGCATTAGGCTATAAACTGTTTTCCTGGTCTACGTTTTTTGTATTCAAAATTTTACTGAAGACAATGGGCTTTTTTCAGGTTTTCTTTCTTTCAACCCTGGATTGTCCTTGTTTGGATTTTTAAGTACTGTAATTTCTCCTCCCACCCCTCCCCGCCCCGAATAAAATATCTGACTTGGGCAAGAAAGGTAAGAGTTCCAATTTCTGCTGATATTTTTAAATTCCTGAGCTGAATTTCTTTGTTGTTGTTGCTCTATACCGTCCATATTATTTCTAATAATCTAGTTTTAAAAATCATAAGCTCACAGAACAGTTGTCTTTAAATAGTACCCGTGACTTCCAGTTATAAGAAATGAAACTTAATTCCTCAGATTTTCACATTGGAAAGCCAGGTTGCTTCTAAGAGATTGAGCAAAGTCACACACAGGTAGTGGCTGTTTCTCATTGAACAGAACGGCACTGAGGAGTTTCTTAGGCACCTGCGCAAATACAACGATGAAATGACCGAGGGAGAACCTTCTACTGAAGTACTAATGCAGATATTTGGGGGGAGAAAGTTTTGGAGTTTTCATTATTCACCGTAATTATGTCCCATGAAGTTGCTGCAAACACTGAATACTGAGCCATTGCTCCCAAGGGAGCACTAGGGTTGGGTTCCCGTGAGCCTCTGATCACGACGTTTCCATTAGTCGATCAACCTCGTTTTGTGTGTGTTTGTGTTTAAAGCACCTTATTTGATACATATTGTTGATTCATTAACATTCAGCTCTCGGCCAGCAGCCCGTACTGTAATTCACACCTGAACAAAGCTTATCTAACAGATTTTTCCTCCACGAGGCACGTCCCAGCCTCCTCGTGCTTAGGCACAGGCGAGCGCATTGCAGCTCTGTGCCTGGGGGGCACTCACAACAATGAACCACCAACAAAAAGCACAGCAGTGTGAAAGACGTGACACTAAATGCACCACACAAAGGGCACTGTGCACTGTATTAGAGCCGAAACGGGAAGGCAGAGCCGTGCCTTTTGTGACCTCGGTGGGGAGTGCCCGTGTGCGTCCTGACCCAGATTTGCCCTACTCATGTCCGTGAATGATCACAGAAGTGCCACAAGTGTTGAATTTTTGGGGTTGCAAAAAAATATTAGCAAGTATGCAAATTTGTGAATGTGGAACCTGGAAATTGTCATGGCGATCGCCTCTAGTTTCGCGGAGAGCCAAGTGATGTCGTAGGAAATTCACGGGTTTCGAAGGCCCGCCTTGTTCTCCTCTTCACTCTGTCGGTGCAGTCTGAACCTCTCATTCTCTTTCTGCTAAATGGAGACAATAATTACTTCTAAAAGTGTGGTCAGGATTAAATGAGATTATGTTTACGTGATGGGTCCTGCAGCATCTGTCACGTAGTGTATATTAAATAATTGATAGTTACTGTTATTAGACATATTAAACACAGCAGCTCATGATTTAGAGAACATTTGTATTGTGAGTCCAAGTGCAGAATTTTAGACTTTGAAACTTTTCGTATTTTAGTGTAATATACCTTAGCATATAAAGTGCTTTATGTTGTAGGCGTTCCTGTTTCTTTCATACCTCGTTTGTATTTGAGCCAGCCCTTGTCTTTAATATCTGTGAAGAATAATTTTGAATGAATTTTAGATTGACAGCTACTGAGTTAAATCTTAAAACTTAATTGCAAACTAAAAACTGTTCTAAACACTTCTTCCTTGCCCCACCCCCTATCATTAAGCTATTCATTTGTAGAAAGACCTGTACTGTTCAGGATGTTTTGGTCCAGAATTATCTGATTTTTAAAAATAATTTGGCCACATACATGAGGTGTGAATGTAGACAGTCCTGCGAATTTAATGTTGAGAAGAATTAAGTATAGCTGTCCTATTAGAGTAAAGCACCAGTTTACTGGAGTTCAGCTAACCAGCCTCTAATAGTTATCTTTTTTTAGGAGAATTAAACAAATGATAATTCCAAGGGATATCCTGGGGCCATTATCCAGAATTCATGCTCAAGTGCAATTCAGAATAATCTCAGAGTAAGGATGTAACCCAGAGCCAGTTTGGGGATCGGGTACTTACGAAGTGGCTGCCGTGAACCTGACCTCAGCACAGTGTTTCAGTCAGCCAAGATGGCCTCCTCCTCAGCATCCTAATTAATATTTTCCATAGGTGAGAGGTCATTTTTTATTCTTTTTAAACTTACACTCTTTTAACAGGTTAATTTATTTAAGTTAGCATTCGAATTGAGTAGTCTGTTGAAAGATCAGGAAGTAAATGGCTCCATTTAAAATATAGCACCTGAAATCCAACATAAATATTACATAAGGCTTATAGGATTCTGTCTAAAAGTTTTATAATTGTTTCAAATTTTTTGCATGGTTGGAATGAGTAAAAGGTTGGTGGTGATGGTGGTGGTTATTCTGTCAAAGAAAATGAATCTGATTTAATTGACTTTATACATGTTCATCAAGTTTAAATATCTGAGAATGTGAACATCAAACCTTAATCTAAATTGTCATGCTGTACAAGTAAGCATACTGTTTCTATTCAACAATACAATAGCTCGTATCTGTTCAGAATCTTGAGTCAGTCCGTTAGAAGAGAAAAGGAATTTTGTGTGTTTTTCCCTCCTTCTGTGAAGTCACAGAAGGCCAGATTTCATGAGTGGCATATTGATAATGATAATGATACTATCATGGTTTACTCTGTATGTCTTGTTCAACCTTTGTTTTATTATTTCTTGGAATACGACAAGAGGAATATTGAGTCAGATTTATAGCCTTTCACAACAGAAGTGCCATTTTAAATGGATTTGGTTTAAATAAGGGAACTAGATAGACTTCTCTTAGGCTAGTCTAAGATAAAGGAGAAATTTTATAGCAGAAAACAAATCTAAAATGATTTTTAGAAGTTCAGCATATGCTCTCAGTGGTACTTTGACCATGTGCTAGCTATCTAATATTTTTCAATAGAATTCAATAACTAAATGCTTAATTATAATTTCTGTGAA